AGGCACTTGAACAAGACCATAACTTGAATCTGGTTATACACCTCAATTATCAAAGTAACATCCTTGCTTTCTAATTTTAAAGAGCACTTTTGCTGAAGGTTACCTAAAATAATACATCACTGATTTCTGGACTCTGGCTTCTGTGCATGTTAGTTATTGACAAAAGTAGAATAAAATCCTTAACAGCTTCAGTTTCTTCCTATTCATCATGCTGTTTATGGGGGAGCCCTGGTATTCCAGTATTAAGCTGTACTGTAACCCCGAGGACACATTGTTCAAATCCATCAGCTGCTCCACAGGAATAAGATGTGTGATTAACTGCCTGTGAAAACTCCCTGGAGGGGCTGCTTTGGATCGGTTCCAACTCTGCAGTACACAACAACAACAAAAATTGTGCGAACTAACTTCATACTCATTTAAAAATGCTTAGGTACACAAAGATAAGTGTTAGGTGCTGTCAAGTTGGGTAGAGCTCATAATTACCTTGTGAACAACAAATCTGAACTCTGCCATATGCTGTGCCATCCTCACAGTCGACACACTCAAGCCCATTGCTGTAGTCACCGTAGATCCACCTGGTTGAGGGTCTTTATTTCACCATCCCTCCAACTTTCCAAGCATGATTTCTTTCTCCAAGGAATACCCTTCACACAGGGATTTCTTATAGTAAGTGGACTTGATTAGTATGAAATATTAAGCCATACGTGAACCTAGGCATTTTATAGTGATTTTTAAATTTTTTTAAAACATAAATTGTCTTTTAATCTGCATTAAATGTATAGTTCTCCATTAAGGTTTCAGCATGATATTTTCCTGTGTCTGGTCTTAGGTTCCTCCCACCCCCGTGGTGTGTACATGACTAATAGATTTCTTCCACTTTAAGGGGGAAAAGTTAAAATACACCGATTTTTAATGGCATTTGATGTGATTGCGACCATCCCCCCACCCCTTATCCTCTTTGGTACACAGTGCATTTGAGGGGAATAAAAAGAGGGCACTTGTTTTGGTACAGCCTCACTTAAATGATGAAACTAATAAGTTTCCATTTCTGACAGTTCATTGTCAATGTATTATTTCAGCTATTTACTACTAGTATTTTGGAATAGTCCTTTCTTTCAGTCTGTCAACATTTGATTTAAGTATCTTGGGACTCTGATTGCACACATAATAATTATATCCTCTTGTTCACTTGACCCTTCGATAATTATATGTTCTCATTTATGCTGGTTTTGTCTTAAAATCTTTTTTTCCTTGTTCCTAAGGTGTGTGTGCCTTGTAGATAGCACATTGATGGCATGCATTTTCTTATCTCTGCTGCTGCTCTTCCCCCCCCCTCGATTTGATATATTTAATACCTTCATACTTAGCATAATTGTCAATGGGTGAGGGAAGCCAAATATCAAATTTAATAACAGTAGACCAAATGCTTATTACATACTTATTTTCAGAAATAAGTGAAATAAGTCAGTCACATTCTTAAGTCTAAATCCAGACTATGATACGCCAACATTTTTATTAAAGAATAATCAAAAGTTAAATGATAGAGCTAGCTGATGAGCATATAGAAAAACAAGCACTTCATACACTGATTTAGAACATGTAAAGTGGTGAGATGTCCTCTGAGAGTTAGTTATTTGACCAATACTGAGAATTTATATCTTGGATATACTTTTAAAAATGTGCTAATTGACCGTTGAACAATGTAAAGGCAAAACAATGTAGTTATAAATATATAATGTATAATATAATGTAGTTATTAAATATAATGTCAAGGCAAAACAATGTAGTTATAAATATATTTGTGTCCCTCAAAGTGTGTGTTAAATCTTAACCTTTATGCATGTGCATATAACCCCACTTGAAAGTAAAAAATTTTATTAATAACACCTTTTTGGGACAAGTGTTCTTTAGCTAATATTTTTTTATACTAGTTTATTTACAAAATTCTAATACATTGATCTTTTTTACCTATAAAATGAGCAGATCAAGCACAAAAGACAGCGAGCACAGTTAGGGAAAACCAGATGATACCTGGTAGGGAACAGAAAAAAAAAAAAAAAGAAACAAGGACCTACCCCTACTACCCTACCCCTAGAGCTCAGAGAGAGAAAAGCCTTCCCCAGGCTTTCCTTTCCCCAGGCTTTTTCCCATATAAGAAATATGG